GGGGCAGTTACAGTCCAGTAAGCAAGTGGTTCTAATAAGATTAGAAACAAAGGATGGAGGGGTCGGAGAGGATTTGGGCCTTGAGCTGAGATGTGAGGAGTTAGGGGAGCCCTTTGGGGCTCTGCACAGACCCATGAGGGTACAAGAGGCAGAGGGAACAGCGGATGCAGAGATGTGCAGGAAGGTATGAGAAGGCAAGGAGTTTGATGAACCATGCAGAGTTCATCTTGATGGAAGTTGGGGTACAAGGTGTTGGGCTGGGGGTTGGTGAAAGGGGTGGGGAGATTAGGGAGAAGAGGTAGAGTGGGAGAGCTGGAGATGAGGCCTTGAATGTCAGGCTGAGATGGTCCTTCTCAGGAGCACCCCTGGACTCCACAGAACAATAGGCAGGGGAGTGGCAAGCCATTGTTTAGAAAGATCATTCTGGAAGCCAGTGTGGAAGGTCATAGGAGTGGCACAGGGATTGAGTGTGAGGGGTTGTGACGGGTGGGGTGAGAGGTAAAGAGAGTGGACCTTGACCTTGTAACTCAGAAGAGGCTCAGTGTTTGGGGAACTCTGAGCCGGGAGGGAGCGTGTGGGTCTTCCCTTGTCAGCCCTATTCCAGGAACCGAGTTACCGGGCTGGGCCAGAGCCTGGTTGGGGTTCGGCTACTCCCATCCCTGCTCCATGCGGGCTGCCAGCACTTTCTGGAGTATCAGAAGGGGGATCCCCAGGCCTGTCTGTCGGCACTGCTCCCCCAGCAGCCACCCAGCCCTCCCCTTGGAGGCAGGAGGATGCTCCTGTTACAGGTGTTTGGTGAAAGCACTTCCGATGTTAGCTACACATTTTGCTCCTCTTGCTCTTGGGTAGCTCGGCTTGTCAGAAGGGGGCTGGGAAGAGGAAACAGAAAATCGCTCAGGAAACCATTGGAGGAGATGATGTAGCTCAGATGCTCAGGGCTTTGGGAGTTTGGGACTGGCAGGATTAGCGGGCTGGGCCTGGGGCAGGTGACCAGGCCCTGCCCCTAGTTCCCAGCCCTCTCTGTGTGACCCTGAGGAGATATGGGTCAGTCAAGGCTTCAGGACAGTCCTCACCAGTACCCTGTGCACACATGCCCCTTTTCACGGCCCCTGCTCCCCACTCCTCAGAACTCTGACTTGTAGCAGCCTCTGCCTTGATGACTCCCAAGCTGCCCAAGCCGTCCCAGGAAGCCCTTGCTCTAGAAAGCTCCCCCAACCCCACCAAATAGGGGCAGAGGTGAGGTCATGGAGAGAGCCCTCAGCAGAGTTGGGTGTCAAAAGGACTAGATTTAAACATTGGGTAAGTGACTTCATCCTTCTGAACCTCAGCTTCCTTATCTGTGAAGTGGGCACGTTACTCACAGGGATAGAATGACAGTGATAGAACAGTGGGGAGCAGTGGGCAAGCCATACGGTCCCTGCTTGCCCAGGGACAGGCTTTCCTGCTTACATGACTGAGCCCACGCTCCTGGGCTGGTTCTTACCTTCTTTTGTAAAATTTTTCCTCCTATAGAGCACATAACCATGTGAATCCTGCACACTAACATCTCAACGGCTCCCTCCTGACTCCTCCTTTAGAGAACTGGGGTCCTTAGAGAAGCTGCAGATACATGTTTTAGGGGAACTCATAGTCAAGTTCAGAAGAGACCATCTTATCAGGCTACAGGAGCCAGACTCCAGGTCTGAAAGCTCGAGTTTTCAAGCTGGAGGTACGGCCTCTACATTGCTTTTCCGTACGCCAGACCCCAGTCCAGTCACTTCTGTGCCATCCCCCAGGCCCAGGACATCTCGCCCTAGGAAGCAGAAAAGGCAGAGCTGGGGGACCTGTCAGCATGGCAGAGTGCAACTTTCCACTGGACAGACATGAATATTCAAGGCCCCAAACACAATGCAGCAGAGGTAGGGCTAGGACTCCTGGTGCCAAGGGGCTCCTTCTGGCTGCAGAGCCTTGTGGTGCTGACAGAGCAGCTGACTCACTGAGCTCCCAGTGGGTGGGATCTGGTGAGCTGGGGTCTGGGGCCTCCACTTCTCAAGCTCCAGCCTCACTGTGGGTACAGGGAACCAGAGCTGACCTGTGAGGACAGAGTTCCTGAAAAGTGAGGTTTCTGAGGAGGACTTGAAACCTCCTGGAGGAGATGGCCCCAGGGTTGGTTCTCAGCTCAGCCTGCAGGTCACAGTGAGTTTGAAAGAGGAAAGTGGGAGGGAGAACAGGTCAAGGTGTGTTAGCTGTGCTGTGAGTGCAGATCCAGGAACAGTGATTTATTTGGCTGGTGAAGGGTGAGCGGGGGTGGG